AGCGAAACTCCCCTCTGCTGCCACGTGAGTGTGTGACGTGTGGAATGGTGTATGCATGAAGACGGAAGCAGGCGCGGTATGTGATAGGTTAATAATGTATTTCACATTTATGTGATGAGAAGAGGTCTGTTTCCTTATGTTTGGACGCTTCTATGAAGTGGGCGTTTGTGAGTGCTGATCGGAGAGGAGAGGGAAGGATGGAGGAAGCATGCACGGTGAGGATTCCATATCATCCAGTGCAACATCTCTCCCACTCCCACTCCCACTACTCATTCACATATTTCTGCATATGATTCAGGGAAAAAGGTGTGTCCCTGTTTCTAGTCCCCATCTGCATGCCGGGAATCATCCTATGCATGTAAGCTTCTTCCATCTGCGGACAGATGGGGGCTTCTATTCATATTTTCATGATGGATTCTTTGTGTTAATGAGCTTTCAGCTTGGTTAAAGCATCGATGATGGTAATTGTATTTACAGCAGGCCACACACAATCCTTGGGTTTAGTGTTGTATTTGGGGCCTTTTCTAATTCGGGCAGGAAAAAAGCACAGCCAAAGAATACATCCATTCATAAAGCATGGAAATGAACATGCCTCATGTGCTGTCTATATTATCCATTCTAAAAAGAAATCGGATGCATTTCATTTCAAAAAGGGGAAATGACAATGGTAAGCTGGAAGAAAATGACCGCACGGCTGCAGATTGAGCACCTTTCCCAGCGGTGAGGTCTAAAAATAGACATATACAGGGATAACGGCATAATCAGCCTCCAAGGTTTGTTCTCTGGTGCTTTCTATACCAAAAGCCCTCGAAAATATACAAGGACAGTCCAATAAGCTTCCAACTTGCAATTATAGCAGGACCAGAGGACCCTGTCTTCAAAACTCCATCTCTCTGACCCTCATATGTCTTTTAAGCAACTACAGCAGATGTTTAAGCTCCCAACCTTGCACTTAATTCATTTTCTACAACTGCAAGATTTTTCATTGGACCATGTCGTGTCCATCATGTGGAAAACCTGTTGGTTACGTATCCACCGTGTTCTGAATATCGCACACATACCACAGTTTTCCACAAAATATTCAAACAGGCTTCACTCGTGTGTGTGTGTGTGTGTGTGTGTGTGTGTGTGTGTGAAATGTCCAAAAGAGCAACAAACTTTCATCCAGTCTTTCAGTTGCTTAGATTACCAGCTTCTAAATGTCTAACCCAGCAGGCTGTTGGTAGTGTGTTAGTGTTTTGTTAAAGTACCTTGGTGGAAGCCATCTCACTGACAGAGTGTCGGGTTTTCAACGTCTCTAGTTGCTCCAGACACCAGTCCAGCTCATCTAGAGTCTCTATGGCCAGCTGCTGGTGAGGCTCCTCTGTATGTATATCACACACACATATATATATATATATATATATATATTAAATTTCATTGGGGGGGAATGTTTAAAAAAAAAAGAACCCAAATGCTGTTCCTAAACTTTTATTTTCTATATTTGAGAAGGAAAGTATTTCCCTCTCAAATATTGAGCTGCATTTTGTTTCATAGTAATTGTATCCATGGGATGAGGATACAAGTGACTTACAATAAGCATTAAAAAATCATCATTACAGGCACATGGCTGGAATACTTGCCCACCACTGGATTTCATGTGTTGGTGAACAACATTTGCTTACTAATTAAACAGCTGTGATGTGTTTCCAGTAACCCAGATTTCCCAATTCACAGATTTAATTGTGTTAATATCCTTGCCATCTGTGTGTGTTTGTGTGTGTTTTTTGTTTGTTTGTTTGTTTTTTAGCCAGTGTGTATTTTGGGCTAATAAGTAAATATCTCATTCCAAAGCCGCTACCAACCTGCGAGGCTGGTCTTGCACATGGATGGTGGGTTGCTGCCTGAAGATCGTGTTCTGTAGACAGAGACCATCCAAAGTGAGCATAATAAAGACACAAGTCAGGTGTGGCGGTGAAAGAGCAAAAAGACTTAGGAAGTCTCCAAAACGCCTACTTGCTGGCCGTGCGATCTTGCTGGCCGGTTATGACGGCGAAGTTACTTCGGACTGTCCTCAGGCTGGCGAGGACCTACGAGAGGAACAAAGGAGTGAATGTACGAGTTCATCAAATGACGCATTTGTAATGTGATGAAGTGTAGCTTTAAATGCTCATAAAAGCTTCCACTTTCATTGAACAAGAGCTTCTCAACACAAATCACTGACTATCATTTGATACTGTGGCTCTCCACTCTTGGCAGATGTGCTACCCAAAGGCATCCCCCACTCCCTTTCTGATGTTTTCATAGCATCACTGACACTCCTCTAGGTCACGTCTGCCACTGCATCTGTCACCAAACACTGACTCAGCATGAGGAGAAAGCCCACAGAGTATCAGATGTCCAGACTTGATCCATGCATGAGCCTTATCTGCCACCATGCATATCTTAAACAGCATGATCCAGCAGTATTGGATTCTCAGCTCCTTTCACTGTGTAAAGTGAGCACAGGAGTGACGCACATCCCACGCAAGAGCTAGGCAACACCAGCGGGATGCTGATCCTGTCGCAGGGCCAACATGATCCTGAGGGGATGTTCCGGTAGAGCACTAAAGCCCAGTCTCATACCATCTGGAGGCTGTTTTTTTTTTCTTTTCTTAATTTGTCCATCTGCCAAATTTTCAAATAACACAATAAGTAAAAGAGGCTGACTGGAAAAGATTTCAGAGGACTCACCTGTGCAAACGGTGTGACTATCATGTCTTCTGTATGTCTGCAGAAAAGACACACAAGAGGAAAAAAGCATGAAAAAACACAAAATACTGAGAAGCTCAACCATAAATCCCTAAAATGTGATACCAAAGAGTGATAAAAAAAAAAAACCTTCCTCGTATCTATTATAGTTTATTCTAATTTATTAAAGACATGCACTGCATCTAGTGAGGCCGGTGAGGAAACAGTCTGGGTGAGGTGGAAAGGGTGGGCGACACGTTATGAACAGTTAAATATGAGTAAATAAAAACAAAAGTGTGTTATTATACTTGACTCCGCTCTGATTAAGCGTCGCATGCAAGAACAAACAAAACAGAACGGGGTGTTTTAGAGAGCCTGACAGCGGTCACAAGAGAGGTTTTTGATATTTAGTCATCGGGAAAAAGGAGGGAAATGATCATGAAGCCATCCAGAGGGAATGCAGAAGAGGCCTTCAGGGGACAGAGCCAGTGTGGGTTTATTTTCGCCCTAATTTATTTTGTTTATCATGTTCTTCTCACCGAGATGACAACCAGTTGACTTCCCAATGCTTCAAGCTTTCTTCCCTTTAAAAACAGATAGGCAAGAGGTTGAAGAAATCTGTGACTGCTTCAATTACAAAACTGAAGGGTTTCTTTCTTTCTCTTTTTTTTTTAGGTAGCATGAAATCTATAATGTCTTGCTTGGGGATGTAACTGAGACACACAGAAAAACAAACAAAATATTCCTTTCTTTAGAATCCCAGTGGAATAGATTTGACATTCGGGCACTTTGTGATGGGAAAACAGCTGCAAGCAATACATAGCATGTCCTAATAAAGTCTTTGAGAAAGCTCAATCTTCTCAAGGTGGACCCTTCTTAACAGTCCTCCTCACTCTATGAAAAACAAGTAAAAAAGTTAAACTGCGTGATCATTTGGCTTCAGAACTCAAACTGCAAACAGGTAAGGGAGCCAGCACGTAAATCGAGGCACAATACTGCTTCTCCAGCCCGGAAACCTCTGAGCTCAAACAGATAGAGAAGAACAGAAAAGCAGAAATGCAAATATGATCCATGTGATCCTAGTGGTATCCCTTTAGGATAAAAAGCACAGCATCAGGAATGGCTGTTGATACTTTGAAAACTTGTTTTTCAGATGTAAAAAGCTCTTTTTTACTTTTAGAGAACTTGATATCAACAGATTACTACATTTAAAGCAACAAGATTCCTAGGCGGGGCATTGGATTTATCCAAAGAGATTGTTTTAGGCCCCTCTCAATACATAGAGACAGAGGATTAACAGTTTCAACTGGTGGACTTACAGGTCACTGGCAGTGGAGGAGTTTCTGGAGGGACCTTTGGGTGAAAGGTCAAAGTCGGAGTCAGAGCGGTAGAGGAAAGATTCCCTCCGCTGGCTGTGAGGGAAATTGGTCGGTCGGGCCAGACCGGAGTTAGGGCTGGCCTGAGGGTCCAGTGGGCTGCGTCCCACAGACAATCCATTCTCCACATCAAAACTAAGAAGACATAAATGCAAAGAGAATTTATTAAGGTTAGATGGCTTAAGAGGCTATTTAGGAATTTACCAGCTTGTAGATTTGGTCAGAAAAGGAAATAGAAGAAATGAATCCATCCAAACTGTCCATGCTTCCTGGAAAGCTTGTTTTTCCATTCTTAGACACACAGTGCCATGAAATATCTCCCACAGAATATCTGCAATGTGTGCATTCATGTGTACAACAGCTGGTGTGTATGAATATATCCCTGAGTCTGTCACACAAATACAGTTCAGCACTTTGTGACTGTTTGCAGCATCAGGCAGGAGCAACCGAAAACCAGCTGTCAACAGCATTATTGGAAATACACCGAGTGGCTGGTCAGCATGCACTGAGGTGAGAAAACGAGCTCCATTAAGAGCTGCAGGCGGTATAAATGCAACAGCCATAAAATAAAAAGAATAGGGGAGAATAAATGTGGGAATAAGCATTTCCCTTCAGACCAAACTGACAGACAAACTTTTTACAAACTTCTAGTTACAAGTTAACCAGACTGCTGCTCCTCTGGTGCCAAGAACATGGACACAGTTAGTAAAAGATGGAATATTCATATCTAAAACATCGCTACAGACCTTATAAGGACTTCTATCACACAAGCTTTCACTCTGATATTGTCCTTTCTTGAAGAGGAAATAGTGTAACATAGAAGTAAAGACCACAATAAGAACTCAAAATTCAAATTTAGAAGGGTGACAAAAAGGATAAGACATTGTGATATATATGAGCTCAGCTCACAGCTCAGGAAGTAAGCTAAAATCAGCACCACAATTCAAGCCGAGCAACAATGGTGGATAAGAAAACACATCCAAGTCAGACTGAGACCAAAATGAGGAGGTGATGAGATCCAAAGAGGAAGAATAGCTCTCAGCACTGGTGGCTGCATGCAATGCTACAGCTGATTTATAAGTAGGATAACTAACCGCTAAAATCCATTAAGTGTGTTATTAGAGTGATCCAAAAAAGAGCAGCTGATTGGCAGGATGGACCCATTTTTCATTATTAATATATTTAACATTAAAAGATATTATAGCATTTGACACAGCGAATCAAGCGAAACCTGAGGCTGTCAGGCAGCCAGCCTGGACGTACTTGAACTCCACAGCTACACAATCATCATGCAGAGAAACAGTAAAGGCATGAAATGTGTTTATATAATGTGATGCTCTCGTGATACAAGTATGTGTATGTGTCCGCGTGTACATACAGATGAATCCTGTGAGCGAACAGCAGAGATAAAAATAGCAGCACAGTAGTGACGTGGGTTACACGAGAGAGGCGAGTCTAAAAATAGCACAGCGTCAGGTGAAGAGGAGTTCCTCCTGAAAAACACCGTCTGACTACAGAGGAAAACAACAAACGAAGACACGGCAAGGTCCTTCTTCACAGTCTAGGCATGTTTCTCCTGTGATCTACATTTCTACTTTCCCACAGCGTTGCTCTGAGCCTCGGAGACTTTGGGCCAGCAGCTCCGTTTGGCAACGCATCTCCTTTTGCTAAACAGCGTGAGGAGCTCCAGAATAGAAATCCACACTTTAGTAAAACAACCATTAGCAGAACATGAAGGATTTTGCAAGGGCAGATGCTGAGACACACTTGATCCCTTTCAAATAAACAGAACGGGGAAACCAATATTTCAAAATAAAAATCTCATGGCGTAGGTATGGGTTCCAAAGTGTTAGAGAATAATAACACACAAACCCAAAATGTCAGTGATACGATTACCACAAAATCAGATTCTTGTGCAGCTGTGTGGGGTCTAGAGTGTAACAAAATGCCCACATTGAAAGACGTTAACAACTGCCATGTCGCATATATACTCGCTGTACACCGTGTTGCATACAGCAGTTGATGCTCGATTTAAACGTTCGACTTCAAAGTGACCATGGCTACACGCCTACCTGCACCAAGTTGTTGCCATTCAACTGGCAGATGTTTCCATTAATAAACAGTTGAAGAGGTGTAGCTAACAAAGTCAGAGGTCAGTGAGTGCACAGTATAGAAGGTGGGGAGTAATAATGTGTTTTTCACATGGTCAACAGTTTTTGACATTTGACACAACTTGAGCAAAACCACAACTATCTGCTGGCCCCATGAATGACTACCTTTTACTCCAATCCATGAGCGATTGACCAACTTTGGCATTTGCAGAGTTGTGCTGCTACAATCCAGCCTTTACAGTTGCATGAAAACACTGCATTCATTCCTCTCAATCCTGCTGCGTTCTGCAGTACTCTCCCCCCCAAGACGTTGGTGTGTTACTGGCTATTACATAACAGCAGAAGCTGATTTCCATGTGACAGATTCAGACACACTGACTGCATCACAGAAGTCCAGGGACTCAGATAATAAGGCCAAGAAAGTGCGAGTGACTAAAATGTCAGACAGTACAGTGGGACTGTGCCAGCGTGGCTGCTAGAGTGCATGAATGACAGACTGGCTGTGTGTGCAAGGGGTAAAAAAAAAATCATAATTTTATGTGTAAATAATACAAACAATGAGTCCCAATGATGTACGCCTACAACGTGTGTATTTTAATCTCAAATTACTGAGGTGAGGAGATGGTCACGCTCTCCTCACCTTTTCATGTTTCCAGTTTAACCCATCTCTCTCATCGTATCTCTGTATTAATGCTGCTCTCCTCGCGCGCTCTGATTATGAATCTGTTTGTATTTCCACACGTCTCTGTCTGCGCAGCTAAATTTAACCTCCGTTCGCATGTAAATCCAGAAAGGCAACACTGCAGCTAAAAATAACCTTCAGGTAGAATTCAGAGTCCTCCTCTCTCTCTTTCGCTCTCTGTTTGCCATCTCCGCCTCACAGAGCAGCAGATTCTTCCCTCCATTCATGAATATTTATGGAGGAGTTTCTATTTGAAGCCGATACCGAGCTAAAATTAGACCGCGGATCAAAATACCGCCTACGCCATTCCCCCACTGCTTTTTTTTTTTCACTTCCAGTTTTTCTCTCTTTATCTCTCGCTGAGCTGTTGTGAGCTCAGTGCAGGGAAGGGAATCCTGACTCACTCGTGACACTTCACTGCTCACCTAGTACTCCAGCAGACAAAACACGTAGTATTTTTGCATTGTGAAATCACAATCTTCTAGTAGTTGTTCATACAGTTTTATAACAAATGCTTTAATTTATGTGGCAAAAAAAAAAAGAAAAAAGGGGGGAAAAAGTAGCTGTTACCATGGAAACAAGCGATGGAGATCTAAATAGGTGATAAAGTAAAACAATAACTCAAAAACACATGCTATTTTTGAAAAGAAATGTTGTTGTTGAGGCTGTTAAGTTGTGAGTTACGGATTTTATAATTATAATTGTGATATTCTATATTCGGAAAAAATGAAAAAAGCCGTTTACAGTTTTTCCTGTAATGTCGTTTCACAGTAAGAACAGTGCAACCAGAATATTCCAGTATTTTCTGCACACCTCCAATGTGCACGATCTTTAACTATACAGTTAACAAAATGTGCATTAAATCTGTCAGCTGAGACATTCTGTAGTCCTAAGAGGTCAAAGGTCAAGGTTCAAGCTCAGTGTGCGCATCGTCTGAACAGGAAGCTCCCACAGAAGCTCCGTGGCTGGTTGGTCTTCAAAAATGACTCCTCCATTGTCTTTTTGTTTTTCACAACTGGCACCCACCCACCCGCCTGCCCACCTCTCCTCCTTCTCCGGCACCCTTCCCACTCTCCACTCTTCTCTGCTCCAAGAATAAAAAAAGAGATTTTTTAAAAATATCCCTGTTAGTGTGGGAAGGTGTTAATTATAGTCCCGATAAAACTGGTGATGAGTGATAGCTAACGTGTATTTTAGGTTCTTCCTGCCGAATTAAAATAATCTATTCATTCACTCTGAGGACAGAGTCCCTCTGCTGGGCCTTAGTGAAACTGCTACAGCCAGTCAATGTTCATGTCTGAACAGAGAAAACTAAGGCATGTTCTTCATTTAATAATTTATTATTCAGATATTTGTATCATTGTAGCTTTAGCACAGACAAAACATGCATTCTGACGATTTTGGGGCGGGTCTTTGAACTGGCACATTGTATGCATTGTAAAATAATGAGGTAGAGACGAAGTTTTCTGCAGATAAATCAAATTAATCACTGAACAAAAACCCGAGCTACTTTTGTTCTTAATTATTGCCACACTGTAAAAAAAAAAACCCTGACTGAAAGGTTTTTCTACGTGCAGAGACGGTGAAAATAAAATCTCATATAAAAGCTAAAAAGCCATCTGAAATGCGTAATGTGCCACCTGTTTGAGATTGGATATGGTTAAATAGAACCATCCTAATTTGGCATCCGCATTCGCACACCAAGCTTCAAAGGTGGACATGAATGTACATGCACTCGCACACTTAATTACTTCTCCTGTCTAAAGACCAATTAGAGCCAGCATTCCTGGACAAGGCAAAGACTTTTAGTTAAAAAAAAAAAGGTGTAAAGAGAGAGGTGTTACCATGTTTGTTATTTAAGTGGTTGGCTGGTAACAAGTGTGATTGATGGCAACCTGTCAGTGGCCCTGATACTTGACACCCCGCCTGCGTCACCGCCTGTCATGGCAACGTCAATCCCATCTGGGGAGCATTAAAATACAGGAGCAACGGCGAACAAGAGAGGGAGAAAGCAAGGGCGAGATAGGCCTGTAAACCAGGGCAAGCTGTCATCTGAACCTTCATTCATCACTCCCAGGCCTTTGCTGTGACACAGCCAGAGGTAGAATTAGTTACACCAAAGCCGAGCTGCGCGACGAGCTGGGACGTTTATTCAAACGCTGTTTAAACTGATGCACAGAGCATTCGCTTCATGCAAGAGAAAATCGTGCTTTTGTAAAACTTGGGAGATAATCTGAAATGATTTCTAGTATGCGACAATGTGTCAGTGTGAAACAAAAGCAACAATGCTGTGAAATTATTACAGCACAAAAGGCACGAGAGACATTCTCCGCCCGGCTTGA